GAGGTCAAGATATTTTCTCACCTCAAGCAGGTGACGGAGCATCAGGCTGCCCTGCACTCACCTGTCCACTATCCCCCTTCAGCAAAAAGTCTTTCAAGATGACTCAGAATTCATGTGTCTCTTTTCACAGGGCAAAGATGGTGGGAACAGGTTTCAATTAACTTCAGCAATTTTAAACATGTGTGAAATCCACTTTGGTTAAATAAGCATCCTCTACTCAGGGGAGATAGGGAGGTGGTGCCCACAGTGACTCACAGCAGCAATCTGAGATACCTGTTTTAGAAAAAGGTGACTCATCTGCTGGTGGAGCATCTGTAACTTCTATATACAGATACCTGGATTAGTTTTTGGATGCCTGTCTTTTAGATCATGAGTTTGGCGCAATGAGTTCCACACCTGGATATTAATGAGGAGACCCTAAGCATGGACTCTGAGTGCTCAGAGTGATAAACATGTCATCTGAGGCATCTTGGTGGCTGTGGCCTATGACTAAGCTTCCTTGTTTGAAGCTAAGCAGTTTTAAAATGCTTGACATAGAAGCATACTTCTGTTTTTTCCTACTGGGGGTGATCAACTTCTGGAAATTTTTTCCAATTTCCACAGCATCAACAGGTTCACCAATGCTTTTGGGAGACTCACAGTAAACAAGGTCCATAACTAGATGGTAAAAGCAAAGGTGTGCCCTCTAACACACACAAAAGGTTCGTGGACTCAGGTCTGAGTGGAGTAGACCTGGAACAGCTTGCAGGCTCTTCCTAAACAGCCTCTCTGGCTGCCACTGATGGAAAATATGACATGTCAGGCATGTGCAGCAGGATCCGGAGTAGTGACCCTGCTCTAAATTGTGCTTTCATGACAGCCCCTGTTGCAGCATGAGGATGCAGAGGGCTGGAATCACTGTGGATCCCACAATCCCAACAAGCTTTGGAGGCAGCACTGCCATTCCTCCACGTCATTCCTTCCAGATCTTCCAGTTCTCTTCCCCAGGCTTTGTTTGAGCACTCCAAGCCTCTAAGGCCAGCCACCAAATTATCAAGATGTTTGATGACACATAATAAATACTGGATCTTTGGGAAAGAAACTCATAACTGAGTTTGCCAGTCTTGACTAACAAAGCCATGTCAGACTCATAAATGAATATGTTCTTCGGACTAATGACCACATAACATACTGGGATTGATACTGTGGAAGATACTGCAGACCTGAGAGTTTTCAGAAAATAAGTCTCTAGAACTGCTAGTAACAATGCAATAGCTTTGTTTTAATATTTGTGTGGGATTTCTATTCTGTGTTTATGAGATTTTTCTTTGTCTCTAGTCTCTCCAATGCCAATTAAGCTGAGTCATATGCTGGCAGAACATAAGAAGTTATAATAGAGAAGCATCAAAAAGGGAAATTTTTGTTTCACAACTAGCTTTAATTTGGATTCAGAAAGGTGAAAAAATGAATAAAAAAATTTATGAAGACTTCTTGGATTTATCTGAAAAGAGAGAGAAAACTGTGAGCTCACAGCTTTCTTGTGTGGTTGATTGTTCATGAGGCAGTTTCAGCTTTACATGTTTGCCTTCCTTTGCCTTTGATGTGACTCCTTCCATCCTACATAATAGTATATAAGATCACCACCTTTGCACACAAATACAGCTGCAGAGTCTTTTCCAAGCAACATTTAGAAGCATTTAATTTTGAAAATACCCAAACTGGGAAATCTCAAAATGTCCAGAATATCTTTTTTCTCCTTCTGGTTTCAATTCAATTCTCCTTCAGTGTTTCAATTATGATGACCACATTGTGTGCTGGCAGGTGGCTCCCTCGGTGGAATTTATCCAGTCAGAAGGATGATGCAGTTTTATATGTCTTGGGCTGGGCCAGCCTCTAGCCTGAATCACTACTAGTGAATTTGCTTGGTTCCCACTCTGCTGTTGATTTCCTATGTGATGCTGTGCAGGTCCCTTAATCCTCCAGGACCTGGGAAAATGCTGCTTTCCTCCTTCCCAAGTTTTCTGCTGTGCTCTGTGGACAAAAGACTTAATGTTCCACATCCAGCACAAGGAAGGCAGAGTATGGTTAGGAATGTTTTAAGACAAAGAGCCATCATAGAAACCTTCCATCTTACCTGCTTTACTTAGAGTTCAGCCATTCCTGTTTCTCTGAAGTTCACAAGGCAGGTCCTCAGACCATCCCTCAGTGTTTGAGGAAAACCAGAACACAGTATCCCATCCTTTGCTGCTGCAGAAACCCTTACCATAACAAAACTCCTGTGCAATGAAAGACCCTGAAACACAGAAACTAAAGCACCTTCTCCCAGGAGATGCATGCACAGGATTTTTTTCCTCAAGAGACTCAAATCAGTTCCAATTGCACATTTAAATACATAATGCTTTTGAATGATTGATGTGTTGAGGCACAGCTCTCCTAGTTTGCCCTCATCCTTATCTGGATGCCTTGAGCTAACAGAACAGCACAGACTGATAACAAATGCTTCTGCCATGAGAACTGGACACATTTAATATTTTAACAGCGTGTTTACTGTCAACTCCTTCCTCTGTCTGAGCAGGTACAGGGCATATTGTGAGGATCACTAATTGCCTGACACATCTTTGTCAGTAACCCAGCTGAATAACTTCAGCTGAGTTTTCTCTGCCCTGGTGAGTTACTTTAATTCATCTGTATTATGTGTTGTGCTGTGGTAGATTTCTGTTTGGCTGGAGAAACACTTCTGCATCTGCCCAGTGCTGCTCTGCCACACAGCAGCAGAGCCACTAAGCTGCGACACAGGAGAACTCTAAGCTCAGCCTCTTTGCCCTTTAGCTGCACCCCAAAGATACACCTCCTTCCCATGTGGCCAGAACATACAGACATTTCCAACCCAAATGTTTGCCTGGGCACACTGTATGGTGTCGGTGCCAATGGCCTCTGGCCTTCTCTGGTCCCCAAGAGATAAGGCACAGAGCTTTCCTGGCCTCATGACATCAGCTCTAGCACAAGGGTGGTACCACACACATCCTTATAAATGTACTTGCTGTTCACTGCCAATGTTTAAATGCATAAGACTGCTTCAGGCATATAAAATAGTAAATATTTATAAGATCAGTCTGTGATCAGGTATTGCATCTTTAATACAACCCCCACTTCAGAGCACATTAGCTTATTAAATGCACTCAATTCCCTTCTGTGAGGAGAGTACTGCAGAGAAAACCAATTCCTGGTCACAAGGAGGCCACAGTGCAGCAGTAAAAGAGAACAGTGCTCACTAAGAAAGTGAGTTAGCTTAAAGATAATTACCCTCATCCTCAGTGTAAAGCACTGAGACACTCTAGATTAGCTGGCATAGATAAAGCACCTCCCAGTAAAAGCTCAGATTTATAACGACTGAAAAAGTGCCTCCTTCCTGATGTATTTGCAAATAGCTTTTCTAAGGCTGAGAGGATGGGGTTAGGCAGCTCTTCCTGTTGGGGGAGATAGGGACACTGATACAAAAATGTTCTTACTGCAAGATAGCAATTACAAGAGTGCCCTTGCAGAGAAACCAGCAGCAGAGGCTGAGAAATAACCTGGCTGTAGCAGAGACGTTTGACTGAACCGGCAGGGAAAAGTAGGTGGAGTTAATTCCAGTTAAGGGCATGACAGTTAACAAATGCTTTAGTTGCCATGGCTGGCAGGGTGTCCATCACAGTGACAAATAAATAAAGAAGAGAAGGCATTTGGAACTGCAAACCCCCAGTGAAGTCAATGCAGAGCACGGTCTGTCAAGTAGGGCTGCACGTGCCTCTGATTTCCCAAATGACAGCTCTGTAGTAAGCTGGGTAAGAAACTTGGCTTTATGAAACAGCCTGTAGCACTTCACTTAGCTCTTAAATCCACACCTAGTGACTCTGCTTCACTGACATGTCAGCATGACTTTTTCAAACTTTCCTGCTGTTTTATACTTTTTATCAGACTATACAAAAGCTTCCACATGTTTTAAATTTATAATTCTGTTTGTAACTTCTGAATGTTGTCAAAAACTATCAGGAAATGCCAGTGATGGAAAGACATGGAATGTATGCTAACTTACACACTTGCCAACTTCACCATCATGGGTAATAGCTACACAGTCAGCTGTCACACACAGCAGCACAACCCTTTTGGTTTTCTCCACTGTGCTATGAATGAATGTACTAGTTCAGAATGTTTCTCCATTTTGGTTCCTCCTAAGAAGCCCACTCCTCCTGTTTCCCTGGTTACAGTAGTCAGATTCCTCCATGCATCCTGGTGCCCCTGCTGCTGGTTATAGTGCAGATCAGAGCATCAGGCTGCTGATAGATCAGATACACGGGGTCTGCTGCAGTTGCACTGAAAGCCAGCCCTCCAGGTAAGACGTAAAACAAGATCTGAGGGATCCTGCAGTAGTGAAGGGCCCATGTAATGGTGATCAGGAGCCCTCAAATTTCCCTGTCTCAGTGCTCCTTTAACCCAACCCCATCCACTTTGGCTTTTCAGGACAGGAGCCTCTTCAGAGGGCCAGACTCCATGAAGGTGAAAAGGCAAGGGTAGATTTAGGAAGAATTTCAGAGCACTTACCCCTTTCCTTCACTGTGGGCACCCAAGATGTAATACACCTTTCCACAGACTAGCTGTCTGGCTTTACATTCAGACTGGTCAGCTCCACACTAACTACAGCTCAGACTTCTTTGGAGATGTTTGCTGTGCAGCCAGCAATCGGGTTTTTTCTTTCAGCAGCAGCAGCAGACCAAGACTCATTTGGGCAAGACCACAGAAAGCCAACCAGGAGCACTAGCAAAGGCATCAGTGTGAGCCAGTGCTGCTCAAAAAGGAGCCAGACTAACTGAGACCTGCTGAAGGGCAGACTGTCTCATTGACCACACGTGTAGGAAAACCCCTAGCAAACCTATTCATGAGTAACCAGCACTGTATGCCATATGGCTGGGATCCCACAGAGCTCTCTCCTGGTTTGAAAGCTTGGGCCATCCTGCTCTGGTAAGTTCCCATGTAGGGCAGAGATGTACATTGGTATCTACTGGGTGCTACACAATTACACTGCTTCTCCTAACACTTCTAGAGTCTGCAAGGAACTCTATTCTTCACCAGCAGCCATGCTGGGCATTACAACACAGCTGGCAGAGGAGGTGATCGCCCCATGTATGAGAGAGCTGGATCACCAGGGAACCCCTTCCAGCCTGCAAAACATGAAGAGGAGCTGTGAACGAGCTATGTATCACATACAGGCTCTTAAACCAGTTGGAGTAAGTAAATGTCAACTCCATCCATGTGAAGATGACAGCATTAATGTGCCCAAGTACTGCTATCCATCCAGCTTATTCCAAATTAATTTAAGCCCACCACAGGCCACAGAGGACATACATGTTCCACCACCACCCCAATTAAATACTACCTCCTGGTATCATAGAAGCCCCCTTTGTACAAGTTTGTATGCTTCTATAGATTCAAATGGAGAAAGAGTTACCAGGAAATACTGCAGGCCAAAGACAGATATATGCTAAGAAGATATTATGTGAAAATTTCCTAGGGGCTGATAAGCTTCAGAGATAATTAAATCCTCATGAATTTGGAAGAAATTATAAATTTAGACCACCAGTGTTTAATGCTCTACAAGACTACCAGCACACATTAGAACCTGCAACAGGTTATATAACTTGGATCACACCCTGGAGGGAAGTGGCTGCTCTACACAGATTAAGACTACAGAATTATGTATACAGGTGGTGAAACAAGGTGCCCTCTGAAAGAATTTCTAAAGACCTGCCCAGAAAGCAGTGGTGCATCAGGATGACCTTCTGCTTCCAAGCATTCACATTGGGATTGGCCTTCTAATGCCTGCTCCCGCTAATGAGTGAACGTGAATGAGTGACGTGTTGTGTGAATCTGGTTTACTGATAACACCTTGATTCTATTACCAGCAGCTAATGAATAGAAGATATTTTAAGAAATAACAGTCGTAATCTGTGTTTTCCCCCAAGAGTACTCCATATCAAAGAAAATAGAACCTTATACTATCTGTTTGGGAAAAACTTGTTAAAAGAGTGTGGCACACATAACTCTTCACGGTGGCACCGGCAGATCCAGCTAGGACAGACAGTGCTGGTACAGGACAGCTTCTGTGACCAAACAAACTAAGAAATGGTTTGTGGAAAGCCCAGTGAAACACATGCTACTGTTTGCCAGAGAGAATTGGTGGCTGTGGGGAACATGTTCCTCCTCCTGAAATGTACTATAGGAAATTCAGTCAAATTCAGCCCTGTGGAGGGACTTGGCAGGAACCACGTGCATGTCTGTAAGGGCAAGATCTGTTCAAAAGGAGAAGGTCCCATGTGAGAACTAAGTGCTTTCTGCTCCATCACCCACATGTTGTTTTCCCTTCATGCTTCAATGCATGGCTGGGGACCATGAACTGGCAGACCCAACTCTGCCACTTAGTCACTCTGCAAATATGGCCATTGCCCAAGTCTGCTGTTTTACTAAAGCATCTCCATACGCCTTGTGGCTTCCACAGATGTCCAGAGAATCTGTGCAAACTCATCACTTCTAATGCAGAAAAGTAACAAGTGTTGGAAGTCACGCTGCTGCAAATGAGTGAAGCCCATGACAATTTATCTTGTAAGCCTCCCTTTTAATCTGCCTCCAGGTAATCTGCATTCCCATCTCTCCAGGGCTCTGAAGTTTGTACCTCCAATTAAGCAACAGCCAGATTTTTCCATCTATAGAAAGAATTTGAGGTTGTTTGACTAACTATTGCAATAAAAGCTAGCTTTATTTTGAGTCAGACCAAAGGTATCCTCTGACTAACCACAGCCAGCAGCAGATGCTTTGAGCCCTATAGAAGAACAGCCAGGTTATATCTGGATGTCTATTTTTAATAACTACCAATAACCTCACCTTCTGTGAAGCACTCCTTCCATGTAAGTTCTGAAACGTTTGAGCAGAACACACAATCTTACAATTCCTACCCCAGAGAGAGTTTATAACGCAAGAGGCAAAATCCCCATCTACAAATGCAGGCACAGAGATGCCTGGCAAGAGGCAGCCCAGAGCATTCATGGCAAAGCTGAGAATCAAATGCAGTCTCTTGCCACTAGGTTTTATTTTTAAAACTATCTGTCCAAAACATGACAAGAGTGATTAAACTAAAGAAATGAAGGCTTTGACAGATGACATTTCCTTCCAGATTTTCAGGTGCTGTTTCAGCCTGATCACTGAAATCTCTCATGCACACCTGACCTCCAAGTGTGCAGGAGCACAGTGCTAGCTCATGCCCAACTGTTGCTCCATTCAAGCAAAACTATCTGCTTGAAGAGCCTCTTGCCTCCAGTAACTCCTTCAGTACCAGCACACTGATATCAGCCACATTATGATGTATTAAAACATGCAACAGAGTTTTTACAGTGTTTCCCCCACCATTGTCATCACGCATGAGGTCCTGGCTTTGAGAGCTTTCTGGGTGCTGGCAGCTGGAGCTGGCAAGCTGTGGTCAGCAAACATTTGCAATCAGCAGCTGACTTCCCACTGTCACCTGCCTGTGTGGGCCGACAATTCAATGTTTGCTTTTGTGCCCAGCACCTCACTTTGAGGGCAAAAGAAGGCCCCCCCAGGCTTTGGGACCCCCTGAGCCTACACATTGCCTACAGCTGTTGGATTTGTTAGTGCTCAAGTAAAAGAAGCTAAATAGTGTGTGGTCGAAGAACAGGGCAAATGAGCTGGCTCAGCTATGCTTTAATGATATTAGTCATGAATTTTTACTCATTCAATGTTCTCAATGCTTGCTTTCCTTTTCCCTCTATCTCTTTCATCTGTGTGAAATGGATGATATCAGTCCTGCTGAGACAGTCCTGAAAATTTTGCTTAGCTTTGTTACTTCCACTTCTGCCTCAGACTTTAAGGAAAGCCTTTGGGGTGTAAGCACCTGTAGAGCTAGAGGAACTAATTCCCCCATCCTCTATACCAGTGCCAAAACATTGTCAAATCCCCACACTTCTAGCAGAAGCCTCCCAGCTTCAGAATGCAACATGCTTTTACCTCTCCCCATGCACCAGCAAGTATGGCAGCTGATGGCATGGCTCCAGTACCCTCTAAATCTTCCCCACTGCTGCTGCTAGCAATCTAAACAGATATCACCTCTTGTGGCATTTAGAAAGCCTTAGGGTTTCAAGTGAGAGTTCTCCAAGGCTACACTGCCAGAAATGCCAGAGGGGACCCAGCAAGAACACTAAGATTAAATCCCATCACTTTAGGACTTAAATTAATTGCAGAGCAAGGGAACCTGGATGAGGTAATTTATACACCTACTGAGGTTAAACCCCAGTTATATCTATTTCCTCCTCTCAGAGAAGAGTCTCTGGTCTGGCTCTGTATGCAACAAGGTGAGCATATCAGCTTCTCCATCAATAAGGCAGAAATTTCCAACTCACCTTACTCCTGCAAAAGTCTAATGAAGATTAAAACAAAGTGCTTTTTTTCACTTGATGCATAAAACATGAACTGGAGCTCATTCCCACTCTGCCACTGATCAGCTGAGCAACCTCAGCCATGTCTTCCTGTTCCTTCTTCACAAGAAGTACCAATCGGCACTGCACCTAGCCCTATGCAACAAAGCCCTGCTGCAGCCTGTGATCCTGGTGCACCCATTAAAGGAATATCTAGACCTATCCTAGATGGCCAGAGGCTTGGCAGAGCAGTTGGGTTTGAACCATCCACAGCCTATTTGATTCTGCAATGTTGATTAAGATCTTTTTGCAAATGAAGGAAAAAGTCCTTTCCAGGACTTTTCAGGCCCAAAAGCCTTAAAAATTTTCACTTCAGTAAGTAATAAAAATATTTGTAAACTGTTATTTGGCTTGTGATGGAAGAGCAGGGGTATAGCCACTTACAGCCTTTCAGCTTAGTACCTGCTTTTCAGATATCAAAGATATGATAGCTGTTCAGATCTAGTAGGGGTCCCGACGGACACTGTTTGAAGATCAAACTCTTGTAATTTTCCCTCAGACCAGTTTCTGTCAACCACTGCAGGGACCTGGTCACACTAACACAAGTACCAGATTTTCTGTTTGGCTACAAGCACCAGGGAGTTGCCAAATCTTTGGCTGAGCACAGAAACCTGAGAACAGTGACCCTGAAATAAGAGCAGTGCCAGGCAAATGGCTGGTTGATTCACCCCTGCACTCTCTGACATGTGAGGAACAAGGGGTTACTTAAGTGAAATGTCCTGACCAGACCACTGCTGGCACACCAATCTTCACTAAGGTTGACATCACCATCCAAGATAGCAGGTCAGTGACAGACCTCATCTGAGGATGGCCTCATTCTCCAGCACCTCTGATGGCACTTCCTGGAGCTGTGCCTCTCCAACCCAGTGTCTGAGTGGTCATCAGCTGAGAAATACTCCTGGCTTTCCCAAAGAGATCCCACAGCAGGCCTGCTCTGGCATAGGGAAGAGCCTACAAATGAACTACTAAGATCTTCAGAGACCTAAAATCCATAGCTTTCCTATGCCTCTATAAGAGGGAACAAAGGCACTTAAAAGAGCAGCTCTGTCCCCAGAGCTAATCCATAAATTTCTACACCCTAATGGTATCCCAGGAATAAGTAGAGAAAGGCCACATGGGAGGTCAGACTGCCATATCATCATCAGAAGAGAGACTTTCACAGGCCTTCATTGCATGTAAGGCCAGGGACAAGGGCACTGCTTTCTACACCAGGAGACCGTAAACTCTCAGAAACATTTATAGGCTCTGGGGCCTCAGGGTTGCTTCAGGCTCCCAGTATCAGAGTGGTAACGTTTCCTTTACGCTATTCAGAGCATACTTAATTACAGAAGAGAGAAGCAAGGGAGAATTTTAAAAGGTAAGTCTCTACTCAACCAAGTATGCTTCCCTCCCTGAGAGCAGACCATGTGTTTCTTTTCTCCCCTTCCCCTCCACAGTACCAATTTTAATAAGTAGTATTCAAATTAATCTGTTTCCCCTTTTCTCTAGCAGCTGCTTTACCAGCCTTAAACAACAGCCTAAACCACAGAGTTTCTGAGGCTTAATCTCCAAACCTCAGTTTGGAGATTACAGTTTTGCTATAACCCACCCTCTCCCTAGCACATATCATCAATACCCTACATACCCACATGCCCCAATCTTCCAATTCTACCCTCATAGTCTACCTTTTATAGGAAAGTCCAGCTGCTCAGCTGCCCCACTATTCCTGAGAAATCCCCCCACCTGAAAGGAGGGATAAGGCATAGCTGAAGTTCAGAGGAGGTCAGTCTACCTTTTTTCAGCAGAGTAGTTTGTACTG